TTAAATCACAAAGTCTGATCCTTGGTTAAGAAAAATATGGTTGTCATTATTCATGTTCTAGAGAACACTTTTCAGTGCAACAGTGAGGTCAGAGTTCCTGTGTTTCAAAAGTTTGAGTTGTAAGTAAGGGTTAGTTAATAGAGGTGCTTAAATATATCTCTATATGAAGTTTGGTGGTCAAGGGAAGGCCTGAGATGGGATAGCACTGTAGTTACACCTTTGTGATCTTGCCATACACAGGCTGCAGTTTTAAGTTGGCCGGTCTGCTGGTTTCCTATGTAATAAATTACCACAAATTTAGTGGCTTAAAACAATTACACATTTCTCATCTCATAATTTCGTGGGTTGTGAGTTTGGGCATGGCTTAGCGGGGTTTTCTGTTTAGAGTCTCATAAAGCTGTACTGAAGGTGTCAGCCGGTCTGCATTCTCATCTGGAGACTCAACTTGTTAAAAATCTACTTCCAGGCTCATTCAGGTTATTGGTGAATTTATTTCTTTGTGATTGTATGACAGAGCCTCAATGCCCCCCTGCTTCTTACTGAAGGCTACCCTTAGGTCTTAGAGGCTGCTGCAGTTCCTTGACTTCCTTGCCACTGCCCTTTTCCACAGGCAGTCTTGACATGGTAGTTTGCTTCTTCAAGGCCAGCAGGAGAGTGTCTTTGGCTGCAGTCTTGTAAGACAGTCTTATATAACGTAATGTAAGCACAGGAATGACATCTCTCCTCACATGTGTCTTGTTTTATCAGTTAAAACAAGTCATGGGTCCTGCTGAAACTTAAGGGAAGGGGTTTATACAAGCAAGGGCATGACTCAATTGGTGGTCATTTTAGTGTGACCATAGCCAACTTACTAAGCTAAATTGAAGTGAAAAAATGGCAGCAGATGCATACCTTCATTTTACCACTGTTTGTGTTTGTCAGGTGATTGTAGCTTCATTGGATGTAACATTTTCTTATATTAAAATCGATAACTGTTTACATACACAAATAATACTCTGGCATTTGGTCATCAAATAATTTATATTAATTTCCATATCTCTGCTTAAAAAAAGCTTTTCTGTTTGTCTACATTGTATTTACTATCAATAGTCACCATTAGTGTCTAAATAGCTATGATAAAAAAAGCTTCTTTTCCTAAGTTTTTGGTATTATTGTATTGAGAATCTCACCTATGAAAGAAAACAAGTCTTTGACAGTTGTTTTTGACGACTCATAAGCCTTTGCATACTTTAGATTTGCTTTTTAGAATTGAGTCTGGTGGAATTTTAGCCTCTATGTATAATATTTTAAATATTATAACTTGAAATAATTTTTTTTCCTATTTAAAAGAGTAACAGATTCATTGTAGAAAGTTTGGAAAGTATAGAACCAAGCAGAGGATAAACCAGTTCTAGCAAAGTTTTCTAGCTGAGTGTCAGCTCCCTGCTCTGCTCATTATTATTTGTATGACTTTGAGCAATATACTTACTCTCTAAGCCTCATTTTTCCAATTTTGGAAAGGAGTTAATAGTTGTTGCTGACACATCATCAACACTTAAATGGACTTAGTATGTGCTAGACAGGGGTTAGTTAGTGGCAAAGATGGGATATGAACCCACAGTCTGATTCCAGACTGTACTCTTAACCACTATGCTATACTATCTCTCAAGACAGTACATGCCTCATTGGGTTGTGGGATTAAATGTGAAGCTCTTAGCACAGATAAGTGCTTTATTAATAATACATATGTATTAATATCATTAAGGATACACTATACATGCAGCTCTGTATTCTACTTTTTACATTTAACTTTTTATGTATTTTCCTGTTATTAAATATTCCTCATAATATAATTTTAATGGATGTGTAATTTGTCATATAGATTTACTGACATTTTATGATTCCGCTTTGTTTCTGCAGAGTAAATTGGAAATCTAAGTAGTTAAATATTTAAGTGGTTAAAATACATTAGATTCCTTTCTTTGAACAAGTACTATATTTTTTCCATGTCTTTTTTTTTATAATGGCTTTATTTAGAAATAATTCATATACCATAAAATTTACCCTATAAAATATACAATTGGAGGTTTTTAGCATATTCACAGAATTGTGTAACTATTATCACTATTTAATTCCAGAACATTTTCATCACCCCAAAAAGAAACCCTTTACCAATTTGTAGTCACTCTCTATTCCCTCTTCCCTCCAGATGCTGGCAGCCACTAATCTACTTTATGTCTCTATAGATTTGCCTATTCTGGATGTATCGTATAAACGATATGAGACAATATGTGGCCTTTGTTTACAAACTTTTCTTAACATAATATTTTCAAGGTTCATCCATGTTATAACATGTCAGTACTTCATTCCTTATTATTGCCAAGTGATATTCCATTGTATGGATTATTTACCACATTTTATTTATACATTTATTAATTGGTGAACATTTGGGATGTTTCCACTTTTTGTCTATTAAAAATAATGCTGCTATGAACATTCATGTACAAGTTTTTATGTGGACATATGTTTTCAATTCTCTTGGGACTGGAATTGCTGGGTCATTAAAAAAACTTCAAGTTTTTGAGGAACTGCCAAACTTTTTCAAAGTATCTATACCATTTTGCATTCCCTTCAGAAATGTATGAAGACAACAGTTTCTCCACATTCATCAATGCTTGTTGTTGTTCATCTTTTTTATTATAGTCATCCTAGTGGGTGTGAGATGGTATCTCATTGTGGTTTTGATGGGCATTTCCCTAATGACTAATTATGTTGAGCATCTTTTTATATGCTTATTGGCTGTCTGTAGTATCTTCCTTGGAAAAATATCTATTTGAGTCCTATGCCCATTTTTAATTTTGTTTTTTATTGTAAGAATTCCTTATATAGTCCAGCTACAAGTCCTTTATCAGATATGTGATCTGCAAATATTTTTCTCTCATTCTGTTGGTTGTCTTTTTTTTTTGTCCTTTTTGAGACCGGCCGCACCGCGCTCAGCCAGTGAGCGCTGTGAGCACACCGGTCATCCCTATATAGGATCCGAACCCGCGGCGGGAACGCTACTGCACTCCCAGCGTCGCACTCTCCTGAGTGCGCCATGGGCTCGGCCCTCTTTTTGCTTTTTTGATTGTGCCATTGAAGCACAAAAATATTTGATTCCGTTGAAGTCCAATGTATTTTTTCTTTGCACGTGTTTTTGGTGCCATATCTAAGAAACCATTGCTAAATCCTTGAGTTAAACTCTTGAAGATTACGCTACTGCACTCCCAGCGTCGCACTCTCCTGAGTGCGCCATGGGCTCGGCCCTCTTTTTGCTTTTTTGATTGTGCCATTGAAGCACAAAAATATTTGATTCCGTTGAAGTCCAATGTATTTTTTCTTTGCACGTGTTTTTGGTGCCATATCTAAGAAACCATTGCTAAATCCTTGAGTTAAACTCTTGAAGATTTACTGTTATGTTTTCTTCTAAGAGTTTTGTAGTTTTAGCTCTTACGTTTAAATCTCTGATTCATTTTAAGTGATTTTTTATAGTATGAGGTAGGGGTCCCACTTCATTCTTTTTCATATGAATATCCAGTTGTGCCTTCATCACCTGTTGAAAAGATTATTCTTCCCCGTTGATTGTCTTGGCATCCTTGTTGAAAATAAACTGACCATAAATGTAAGGGTTTGTTTTATACTTTTAGGTCTATTCTCTTCCATATCTTTTTAAATGGTATTTGTGGCTCTGCTACTTACTAACTTTGTGACATTCACAGTTAGTTAATTCTTTATCCCATAGTTTTGTCATCTGTAAAATGAGTAATAAATAGTAAGTACCTCATGAGATTATTGTGAAGATTAACAAAGATAATATGTGTAACGAGCTTAAAACTGGCTCTCGAGAAACACTTGTTTTAGGCTAATTGGGAGTAAAGGGGTCAGCTAGAAAGTTTTGTAATTATTTAGGAAGGTAAAGAAGTTCTGGAATAGGAGTCATGTACATGTGTTAGTTTTAAAAGTCATATGTATGTTTATCTACACGATGGAATACTGCTCTGCTATAAAAAAAACCTGAAATACTACCATTCACAGCAACATGGATGGACTTAGAGAAAATTATATTAAGTGAAGTAAGCCAGGCACAGAAAGAGAAATACTGCATGTTCTCACTTATTTGTGGAAGCTAAAAATTAATAAATAATTAAATATACAAACAAATAAATGGTGAGGGAGGGAAGAAGACACAGCAATCACAATTCCTTGAACTTGTTAAAACAAGTGAACAGATATGATGTTGATGGAGGGGGAGCAGGGAATGGGGGGGGAAGGAGGCATTGGTAAAGGGACACGAAAATCAACTACATTGTATATTGATAAAGTAAAATAAAAAAAAATTTTAATTAATAAAATAAAATAAAAATGGGGGAAAAAATAAATGAACACTGAGAGAATCTATTGTCAGCATACATGAACCACAAGCAATCTTAAAGAAGTTTTTTCGTTTGAAAGAAAATAACACTAGACAGAAATTCACATTTATGGGAATATAGGTAATGCTTTCTAAAGTGTAGCTACATTTATTTTATGGAAGCACATCTATAACTGGTAGTGATTCTGAGCATAAGAGTGCTGAAAAAAGACTTCAACTCTCTTCTGCCTTCCCTTCCCTGCACCTTGCATTCATATCGTTAGCATGTGACTGGCATTTTCTCTACTGTGTAACTAATGACACAGCTTATGACTCCTGTCCTAGTTCTCCGCTTTAAACATTTAGTAATAATTTCTGCATTCCTAGAGTTCTTTATTAAGCAGATATATTTAAGTTACTGACTTGAGACTTATTATGGTTATCAGTAACTTTCTATTATTTGCAAAATGAGAGAATCAAGTATTTTGATAGCCTTTTGTTTCATCATGCTTAAATTTTTCTTCTGATGTTCCAAGATTCATTTTGTTTTTCCTAGATGTCTTTTTCTTGTCTATGTTTACTTATTACATTTTCTTATATTTTAAAAATTTAATATGATTATTACTCCTAGATGTCATTTGTCAGAGTGAACCGTTGCGGTCCCTGGGGAGGTGGAAGAAAAGCACTAAAAGTAAAGAAGAAGAAAACTTCAGTGAAGCAAGAATGGGATGTAAGTCTAGGTGGGATAGTAAACAATATAGCTTTACTCAGGAGGAATAGACATGATGACATGAACCTAGTCACTCAGGATGAGGTTCTGGATGGGGCTTAGCATGTAATAGGGTGGAATGGGCTTCTGGGCATGTTATATCCTAAGTCTTGTAGGGAAGAGGAGAATCCTTTGGGGAGTTTTTTAGAATATCCATTTTTAGGCTGTAACCTCCAGCTCCCTTGAAGTATTGGAATCTTAAGGGGGTGGGGGAGCATATCTTTTAAAAAGTCTCCTCACACTTACTTTGAGAACTCATTGCATTAAGGCAACTCTAGCTAACCTGTGTCAGTGAAGTCTGAATTTTTTTGGTACTTTTTTTAGATTTGCCTATAGCAGCTAGTGATACTATCATCATGTGAGTGGCAGTTTTGGCTGAAAAACTAGGTGATCCTTGCTCTCTTACCCCTTGACTTGTTGCTTACCTCCTGAGACTGGTCAATTTCAGTACAAAGGTTCTTTTATGACATAAGACAAGTCTCAAGTACTGGCTCCTAACCTGAATATCACCTGATTTATATCTTTTGCAGTCTTGTTCTTTGGTTTGGACCATAAGACTTCAGGTGCCTTTACTTTCTGCTGTGCAGAGTAACTGGTTGGGGACTAGTTTGGATCACAGGGATTTTTTGGACTTGGAGCCTTCTGTGTTGCAGCCAGCTACCTTAGCCAGATTTCCTGGGCAAATTGACAGCCTTTGGACTTAGGGCAGGGGAAGTTCTCTATGTTTAGATTGTTTTGTTGCCATCTGATTGGCTATAAAATATTTAAAGGGTGTGACTAGGTAGTGGTGAAACTGATTAAAAGGAAAAAAAAGTACCTTATAACATAAGTATTTTCCCTTTCAGCGTGGTTACTTTGGGAAGTTCAGTATTTATTCTGATATGCTGCTATTGCTCAAAACTTAGCTGAAACCCATCATTTGAAGTTTCATTAAGAATCTTCCTCACTTGCTTTTTAATATCTCCAGCAGTGGGAAAATCTTTTATTTTGGCAACTGGCTGGTAATAGGGATCAAACCCTGGACCTTGATGTTATCAGAACCACTGTCTAACCAACCGAGCTAAATGGTCAGCCCCTATATCTTTGTTTTCTGAAGGTAGACTAAACTTGGAAAATAGCCATAGTCAGTTGTAGTAAGTGGTAAGTGAAGGAGAGACCAAATTGTTAATATCGTTTTGATGAAAATAGTGAGACATTTTCTGAAATGGCTTGTAAATTAGATTTAAAGGCAATTTCAGAAGAAAATAGTTTTAAGCAATAGTAGTATTGATGAAATTATTATATTTTCTCCCACCAGAACTAGTTCCAAGCATATCACTTATTTGTATGCCTGAATTTTGTTATGATTATTAAAAACAATTCTTATAGTTGTACTTTGTACCTTTCTAAATCAATGTGAAGGGAATAAGTTTTTGTATGGAAAAGTCTTGAGCTAAATAGAAACCATGGCCAAATGTTTAGTCTTTGAATATGTCAGAAACTATTTTGATTCAATTCTCTTTGTATTTCTTATCACTTAGAAGTAGAACTCTTAACTTGCTTTATTTCCTGCCTTACCAAATCTGTAGCAAAATGGCTAAAGTCATTTTGGAAAGGGCCAAGTTGCAGGGCTGCTACTTAAAGCTATGCAGGCTATCCATCACACAACTCCAAGGGATGCTATTTACATGCACTGGGATGTTAATGGTACCTCCTGGAGTTGTGCAGTATAGTAGCCCTGCCATGTTGGTTTAGTGCCTTTTTACTTAAGTGACTGTTTTCACATTTTATGAAATTATGCAATGCCTTCAAGCTTCATCTCTCATTGTAATAGGTTGTATGCTTAAGGTATTTGTGGACACAAATTGAACTTCTTGATCACACTTTCTCTTAGGAATCTTTTGCCTTCTGGAATCCTGAGATTCCATGGAATACAGTTTGAAAACTAAAACTTTAGTTAAACTTACTTGTGTTGTATATATGAGAGTACTTTAAAAAGTTCATGGGAAAATGGATTTGAAAATTAAACAAATCTTACAATGAACTTTTTATACTATCCTCATATACTACCCTCTTTTATTCATTGTTTTAATATAATGTATGCCTGCTTGGTGAATTCAGTGCTTATTTTCTGTATGACACCTAAACACAGTCTGTTATTTTCTACAAGACACCTAAAAGTAATCTGTGTTAATGTTTAAATTGAGAATACTGGTTTCTAGAAAGGAAGAATTTTTGGTCCCAGGATTTTCAATCCATTTTTAGCCACTAAAATCCAGTAAATGCTAATATTTTATTTAAAAAACTTTTTTTTTTTTAAAGAAAAGCCATCTTTTTTTGCAGAGTACTGTGAATGATCTAACAGTTCATCGGGCAACTCCTGAAGATCTGTCCCAGGATTTTCAATCCATTTTTAGCCACTAAAATCCAGTAAATGCTAATATTTTATTTAAAAAACTTTTTTTTTTTTAAAGAAAAGTCATCTTTTTTTGCAGAGTACTGTGAATGATCTAACAGTTCATCGGGCAACTCCTGAAGATCTGGTAAGTTAACTATCAAAAGTTAAGTAATTTATTCAATGTGTTACTTGGTATTTGATTTCTAACCTTCAGAATAAGAACCATATGCACTTCCTGGAAGTTGTGCAGTTATGTTTAATCTTGGCTTGTGTCTATATAAAATCAAAAAGCATATCTTCTGTACTTCCTGATTTTACCTAGAAGTATCAAGTAGTATGTATTAGAATTTCATTAGATAGGTTGGGTTTACAATTCAAATCTCTGTAGTCTAGTATTGCCCTGAACACCTCTATATGTCTTTTCCTATCTATAAATATTTCCGGCATTATTTGTTATGACTTCCCTATACAAACATATTGGTCTAGTTAGTGTAGTAATTTACCCTTGAACATGCCATGTATATTTCCACATCTGAGTTCCAATTCATTTTATTTTCTTTAATTGGGACGGTTTCCCTACATTCTTCCCTACCTGTCCAACTCTTACTTTGCTTCCTAATCCTACTTCAAGTCCTTTTTTTTTTTAAAGTTTCCATTATAGGCTTTTTTGAAAAAAACAGCTTTATTGAGATGTAATTAACACTCTATTTTAAATTGTACAATTCAGTGGTTTTTCGTATATTCACATAGTTGTACAGCCATCATCCCTATCTAATTTTAGAACATTTTCATCACCCCCAGAAGAAAGCCTATACCCATTAACAGTCACTCCCTATGCCCACCTCCTCCCAGTCTGTGGCAATTATTAATCTACTGTATGTCTTCATGGATTTGCCTGTCCTGGACATTTCATATAAAGGAAACAAAATATGTGCCTTTTGTATTTAGTTTCTTTCTCTTAGTATAATGTTTTCAAGGTTCATCCATGTTGTGGCATGTATCAGTACTTCATTCCTTATTATTGCTGAGTAATATTTCATTGTATGGATATACCATATTTTATCCATTTGTCAGTTGGTGGACATTTGGGTTGTTTCCACTTTTTGACTATTATTAATAATGCTGCTGTGAACATTCATGTACACATTTTTGTGTTGGAGACCAGCTCTGCAGGATTCGTTGGACCTGAATAGGTGGTGTGGATTCGGTGAAAAGGAAGAGACGGACCACAGATGTCTAGTGCAAGTGTGGACACCAACCACAAGAATTTTGCTTTATTTATATTTTTTACTTAACCTTTTACATGATGATTTATCTTTTAATCAAAACATTTTTTATTTCATCTCTATAGGAAAAGAAAAATCAAAATGTTCCAAAGCACTCATGCTATGATAAAAACACCCACTCATGCATCAGTAGTTCACCCCAAACCCTGTGGCTTGTGGCCAGGAAACTATACAATAGCAACACGCTTGGCTTTAAAACATCAGACTTTTGGTCTGAATCATCAACCTTAAACTTCTTATTTACAATTTAACCCTTTTTAAATCTTACTTATACTTACTATTCTTAATTTTAATAACATTGATTAGTTATGGTTAACAATTTAATATTGCTTATACTCTATTGATTATTTTAATTTATAATCAAAATTACAATGTTTATAACATGAACATTATAATAAACTTTAACTATAAATCTTATTAAATTTCTATGTTACTGTTACAAATTTTGTGTCACAAACTGATTTAAACAAAACCTATTAATATCAAAATTTGTTTTGTGTTTCTCTACTATCTAATTTATTTATCTTATAACGAAACCTTTTATTTCCCTGCCAATAAACTCTGGGAACAGCACAAGGAACAAAGTAAAAAATTAAATGATCCTACTCAAACTAACAAAAACACACTATATCATTCTTATCATTACTAGGGAAACAACATGTTCTTGGTAAGTCAAGTGAAACTGTGGGAATGGGGAAGACAAAGAAATCTGTAACTGGTTAATGATCAAATAATTGTAAACACCACTGCACTCGGACCCACCACCTTCCTGGGGAATGTGGATAGAAATCCAACATAATAACTTCATTCCACACGTACAAAAGCATGACTACAGCCACAGTGGGTCCATGCACATATCACTAACAGGAAGGATCAATAACAAAATTAAATCGAGCCAACCCATACCGGGAACATGCATCAAAAACACCTTTAGTACTGACAATGCCCTTTAAATAAACCAGTTAATTTTGATGTACTTTACATCAAAATTTATTTATTCCAGGGAATTTCCCAAAGCCATACTAAGCCAAAAGGTTAGGCTGTTTAATTCTGGGAGGCCTTGTCAAGTAACCAAAGGTGAACAAACAAGAAATTCTATGGAGCTGTGTCACACGCGGGACCTGTGCCACACACACAGGACCCCCTTGTAGCCTGCAGAACAAGGGGTATCACTCCTCAGGCTCCCATGCTGTTCCTTATAGTAGGACGGCTCTCGACATTTTTGTGTGAACATACATTGTCAGTCCTTTTGTATGTATACCTAGGAATAGAATTGCTGGGTCATATGGTATCTTCAT